ATATATATATATATATATATATATACTTCTTCTGTATATTATAAATAAAAAAATACACTTTTTTTTTGTTTTTACTATATAAACAAATTTTAACTATTTTTACTTATTTAATAATATTTTTCTTAAAATATCTCTTGTTATCTTTCGATTACACTATTTTTTTTAAAAAAATATTTATAACATGAATAATTTAGAAAGAATGTTATAAGATTAGTAAAATTTAATTTAAATAACTAAAACTTTTAATATACATGAAATCAATTTTTTTTTCTTAAACTTTTTTGTGTCATATTCTACAATTTGCAAATAGCATGAGGGTGCATAAGAGCTCTATGGCAAGCATCACTTGAAAAATTCAGCTACCATATTTACTATAATTATTTATTGCTCTCCCGTGCAAGATCCGATACTTTATCTCCATAACTAGCACACTTCATCATATGCCCCTATCCCCACTTGTAATAAAGAATAGCGGAAAGAGTTTTTTTTATAATCATTATAGAGAAATGGGTTTTGTTGCTTTGATGGGTTATTAATAGTGACAAAAAATTGATTAAATTACTTAACATGTTAGGGTAATTATGATGGTCAAAGAATCTTTGATTTTTAACCCAAGTGTTTTTCCGGCTTGGGATTGACCCAATCATAAAATAAACAACACATTGATAAATGATAACATGCATATATCTAGAAACAAGAAAATGCAATGGTATACTATATTTATTGATATCTATTGCACATGTGTTACTACCGATCACACAACAATTTGCAATGTATGATCGCTATCTTGGTCTCCAAAATGGTCCAGTCCAAGGTATAACGCAGAAGCTCCAACTAAAGTGCCTCTTGTTTGATTAAGACAATTAGTGTGCTTTGCTTATTTGATATTATGTTGGTCAAACATATATTTAATTCAAACTTTACCCCCATTGGGGACTCCAGAACAGTCACTATCTACAATCCTTACTCACATGACAAGAATCTATGATCATATTTTATATTTTATATTAGTGTGTAAAATATATAGTGTGTCCATGACTATAAATCAAAAGTAATGAGAGATGGGAATTGTGTATTTTCCATTGAAATACTTGTTGAGTAATGATGGCTTGCAAATTGCAATGTAGAAGTTACAGTTGATAGGTAAAGAAAAAGAAGGGCTAGACCTGTGGGACCCAGGTGCTTAACTGGGTTCCACAGACTGTTGATTACAAAAACAGTGCCATGTCTTCCAAGTTCTTGCAATCCAACCCAACTACAAAAACCCAGCCCCCCTCTCTTCCATTCACTTGGTACCACTCCAACATTTGTCACAAAAACACACTTTCTGAAAACAATAATAAGAATTCATTTCTTTTCCCCAACATGGCCAGACCACAACAGCGTTACCGAGGTGTCCGACAAAGGCATTGGGGCTCTTGGGTCTCCGAAATTCGCCACCCCATATTGTAAGTTTCCACCCCCATGCAACCTCCAAAAATCTTAGTGCATGCATGTTTCCAAATTGTAATGCTATCAATTAGTTAGAAACAATCACTTCTTAATTTTAATTTTTTTCAACATGCTATAGTAAAAGAGTGTGATCATTTTTTATTTTTCTTAAATGTTTATTTAAGTATCTAGTTTCATGCATATTATCTCCACTCTTAACATTAAGTTAATGATTTCTAAAAATTAACTTGGTCTATAATAATCACTAAAATCGATACAATAGTAAAAAAGTTGGATAGATATATATAAAAACTTATGTTCGATCTTTATAAAAAAAGAAAACATGATCTTTAATCGAGTTGAATGACATTGTGTGTAATTCATGTAACCGATTTAACAGAGTGAAAAAGGGTTCTGTTGTTGTTAAAATGAATCTTTCCAAACATGCCATGAAAATGATTGAATTGGTTTTGTGCAGGAAGACAAGGATATGGCTTGGTACTTTTGAAACAGCTGAGGATGCAGCTAGAGCCTATGATGAAGCAGCTAGGCTAATGTGTGGTGGCAGAGCAAGGACAAACTTCCCTTTCAACCCCAATGTGTCTCACTCATCATCATCTTCTAGTTCAAAGCTTCTCTCAGCAACTCTTACTGCCAAATTGCACAGGTGCTACATGGCTTCTTTGCAAATGACTAGGCAGGCTTTGGCATCATCATCAGAGCCTCAGAGAACAGCTTCAGTGCCGAATGCCACCTCTACATCCACACCAAACAATAACTTCAGTGTAAAGAGTGGCCAAACTCATGCACACAAGAGACCAGAGGAGGAGGATCAAGAGTCAGAGGCCAACAGGGTCAAAGAAGTGGAAAATCATGTTCCTCTACAGTTCAAGCCTCTTGAGGAAGATCACATAGAGCAAATGATTGAGGAGCTTCTTGATTATGGCTCTATTGAGCTATGCCCTCTAATTGATGCATAGGGAATGAATCTGCATGGTTTTGAATTTAAGTTAGAGTCACAATTGTAGTTATAGGCAATTAATTATTAATGTGACTGAAATTGCTTTAGTTTTAAAGGCCTCAAAAAAGAATGGCCACAATCACAGTTACATGATGCAATTCGAAACCATGCCAATGTCACACCCAAGATATTGTTATAGAAATCATTTGAGCATTGTAGTGGTTCACATTTTATTTTTTATAGAATTATAAATCCTTTTCACTAGATCAATCTTATATAAATAAATAAAAAAGTACTTTCAGTTACGAATTTATAATTAAAACAAAGTTCACACATCAGTCTTTAATTAAAGAGTTCAAATTACTTTTAACAACTTTAGTGGTTCACATTCTTCTTAATTATTATCATGATTTAATTACCCATTTTGCTTAACCTTCTCATGCTCTTAGCTGGCTACTCTCAAGGTCCAAGAATTCTTCATGTACAGCCAATCACGTTGTAATATTTGAAATTGTTTGGTGTTTTCCTTAGGCCAACGTTTGCAGATGCAGAATTAGTCGTTTTCTGAAATGTGAGGGAAGGTTTGTCAAAGGGCACTGCTTTTTAGAAAACGGGCTAGAACTAGAACCCTCTATTTCAAAGATTGTAGAATTTTAAGCACTGACATTGCTCTTGATCCTGATTCTGACGCAACCATTTAAGGTGGGAAAAAAAAAGATTTTGAATTTCGTTAAGATAAAAAGAACGCAACTCATCCTACGCTGTCAATGTTATAAAAAAATAGCAGAAACCTCTTGAAGCGAGATTATTTATTTATTCTGCCGTTGTGTGGTAATTAGTGTGAAATTGTTCTAATTTGCGCCGTAGTGTAAAACTATTTATTTATAACTTCAAGAGTGTGGTTCAGCGGTAGGGGTTGATCCACGCTTAAGCAAGGTCAGGGGTTCGAATTCTGTCTTGTGTATGCAGCCGCGTTAAATCTTGGGGTCAGTTATCTCACCCTTTGAGATGTCTCCAACGTAGCGAGGAGATTAGTCACTGCTATCGGTGGTGAAGACTCTAGGAACGAACCTAAAAAAAAGAAAACTATTTATTTATGTTAAATAGTTAGAAGAAACTCCCTAGTTATAATGATCACACTTAATTTGAATGAAATTATTTTGTAATAGATTTTAAAATATATTAATGTACTAAGTAAATAAAAGTTTTATATTATATTGAGTAGTATATAAATAAGAGAAGATTTTAAATTTTCACTTAAAATATAGTGAGTTCACTTGTTTCGTTTCTTTATAATTTGTTAGTACAATTTCATTTGTTAAATGCACCGAAAAATGTTTATTAAACTTATAATTAATTGCTAAAACAAGTTTATTTTAATTATGTAATACATTAGTATTCTCATAATTTTTATATTGTAATTATTTTATTCTTTTTTGTTAAATATAAAAAATATTCATATTAGCTTTTCTAAATTCGTTAGAACATTCTCTGTACCAAACAATGCCGGTCTTAATTAGGTATACATTGATAATATATATGCATACTTAATGTATGTCTTCTTTCACTAGTTTAATTGATTCGGTAACGCCGGTAAAACCATACTATAGTTTTATTTTGTTGGAGTACATTGAAAAGTATTATCATTATCAAAAGATTCAAAACACGAATTTAATATTTTATATTAAGATTCTTCCCTATCTCAATTGTACTTTTTCTTAATAGGAGTTAATAACTTGATGCTTTGTTGCAAATTTATTTTATTATTAATATTATTGAATCATGGATATTATTGCAAAAGTTTGCATACGACAATAACTACACAAAAAGTCTTTTTTCCTACTGCATAAAAAATTAAATTACTATTTTCAATATATTATTTCTAATAGACTTATTAATTGTTGTTCGTGCCCCATAACTTTTACATTATTATAAATTTTGCTTACTTTTCAAATATTACTATTAAATTTAGTGAATATTATAAATCATATTTATTTGCCAATTGTATGTTAAAATACTAATAGATTATTATGCTTATTGTATTTTATATTTTCAAACTTTTACTTTTGTCCCCAAATTTTAAAAATCTTACAACTTGTAACCTTTTGTCCGATTATACGTGACATGATTATAAACAACTAATAGTATTGGTATGAATCTATATCATTATATCATATTCATTTTGAGTTAAATTAATGTATTTATATACATATGAGTTGTATATGCATTAATATATGTGATATTTATATTAATATATTGTATATGCATTAATATATGTGATATTTGTATCAATGTATTGAATTAACTAATATCCTTAAGTTAATATTTTATATGAATATGAATATAAATTCAAAAATAGTTGTTTGTAATTATGTTAATTGTTAAGTATAGACTTGATAGAAGATTTTAATTCACAACATTTTCAAATTTTAGGGGCAAAATTTGAGAAAAAATATTTTGAGGGAAAATTTGTGATAAGGTGAAAATTTGGAAGTACAAAATATTTAATACTTACATCAACAATTTTAATGGATGGATAAAATTTGTGACATTTTTAAAACTTGTGACAAAATCTACCAACAAAAATTTTGACCACAAAATTCACAACAATATTAAAATTTTGGGACACAAAATATGTCTAAAAAGTTAGAAGATTTGGTTTATGTGTATTTCAACAGTGGATTTTTATATATGAAAGATGAAGGAGACTAGGTTGTGAGACATACATCATTTCACTTGATTACGATGTTAGACTTCTTGAATTGACAAAGTTATCTCTTGATGAACCAAACTTTGCAATTATGTTTTTTTTCTTCTTTCTAGATGATAGTAATAGGAGAGAAGAGAGATATACAATCAATACTAGACAATAATTTAATAATGATGTTTTTGAGTAATTGACTATTGTATTGAACCAATATTAGTTTAAAGTTCAACCAAATATAGTTAACTTGATATAGGCAAAAAACTATTTTTTGTTATGAATCTTATGATTACAAATATCTTTTTGTAAATTGTAATCATCATTATTTTGAATTAATAAGAAAGAATTAATATATTTTCTTTATCAATATTTTACACACACATTTTTTTTTTAAATTGTAATCATCATAATTATGAATTAATGAGAAAGAATTAATATATTTTCTTTACCAATATTTCACACACATAATAAAATATAGGTTAAAAACCTATTTTTGGTCCCTTATAATAATTGTTTATTTTAATTTAGTCTCACTTTTATATTTGGTATCAATTTGGTCCCTAATAAATTAATTGGTTGCAATTTAGGACTTCCGTCTAAATTATTTAAACGGAGTTAACTGTTGACCACGTGGAATGCACGTGGATGTCACGTAGATGCATAGGTGGATGTCACGTGGATGCCACGTAGATGCATAGGTAGATGCCAATTTTTTCGAAAATACCTGGAACCAGAACGCCCCGTTCTGAAATCAGAACGGGTCGTTCTGGGTGCACTCTTGGCCGGTGTGTTAATTTTGCATCCGGAACGGCCCGTTCCAGGTGCAAAATTAACACACTAAAAGTGCAACCAGAACGGGTCATTCTGAAACCAGAACGGGCCATTCTGGTTTCAGAGTGTTAAACACAAATTGTTAATGATTATAGTTCACGGTTGTAAATCGTGGAAGGAAAAAAACCCAAGATACAAAGCATTTCAAACACTGGATTTAGTAATATTGTCAATGAAAATTGATAACTTCAATTGCTAAACAGTTGGGCTATACAGTGTATCATTAAGGACAATGTAGTGTATCATTTAGGACAATGCAATTTATCACTAAAGACAATGGTAACAAATTTTATTTCATTGTTAGTCAAATTGGAGTGAACCACTTACTATCAAATTGACACTATACAGTAAATTAAGGATGAAATGACATGGTATTTTTTTTAAGTCATTAACGATGTACCCCAACAACAACCTGTTCTTGAAGAAGTAGAACCTGAAGTAAAGGAAGAGGATACACAGGACTAACATTTCACCACACAACCACATGCAGGGACAGAACTAAGTTAATCATAGTGGGGGCACTTGCTCCCACTAAAAAATTTTTCATTCTTTTTTTTTTTTTATATATAAAATATTAATAATTTTATAAAATATATATTATTAATTATATTTTAATTATCTTGTTATATCTAATATAATAAATACATTAATATTTTTTTATAATTTTTTTTTTTAATTATTTTTTATTTTGTGGTAAAATTATCTTCATTTTTAATGAAGAAAAAATTTACTTACTTCAAGATTAAGTCTTGATAGATTTATTTTACTTAATAATTAATGTTCTATATCAAATTTCTAAAAATTTAATTGTTAAATTAAAAAACTTTTCATATATAGATCAAATTTATAAAATTTTTTAAAAAATTAAAAATCATATGATACTTCGTTAAATTAATTCAAAATAACATATAAAATATTTTTGTTTTAAATGAGTGTAAAAATTTAGAGGACACTAAAAGAAAACAAATTAATAATTTTATTATGTTTATCCTATTATTTTTTTGTCATTTTATTCTTCTAATTTTAAATAAGTTGCAAAAAATTATTAAGTGACACTTAAATATTTTTTCAGACAGAAAGAGAAAAAGGAAAAGTTATCACTCTATTTTATAAGACAATTGTATTTTATAAAAATAAGTAATTTTAAAATTTTTATCATAAAAAAATATTTTTTAAAATTATTATAGTTCTGGAACGGGCTGTTCTGCATCCAGAACGGGCCGTTCTGAAACCAGAACGGGCCGTTCTGGTTTCAGAACAGGACGTTCTTATGTACTCGTAGTTTGTTAATTTTGCATCTGGAACGGCCCGTTTCAGATTCAAAATTAACACACCAAATGTGAACCCAGAACGGCCCGTTCTAGTTTCAGAATGGGCCGTTCTGGTTCCAGGTGTTTTCAAGAAATTTGGCATCCACCTGTGCATTTACGTGGCATCCACGTGGCCAACAGTTAACTCTATTTAAATAATTTAGATGGAAGTCCCACATTGCAACCAATTAATTTATTAGGGACCAAATTGAGACAAAAAATAAAAGTGGGACTAAATTGAAACAAACAATTATTCTAAGGGACCAAAATAGGTTTTTAGCCTAAAATATACTATTTATCATGTTAAAAACTAAATATTTCATTGCCTTTTGTATTTTATGTTGTAAAAAAAGTTAAAATAATTAATATATTATTTTT